CAAGTGAAGATAAATTTATCAAAGAATAAAGATTATTTGATATTAAACTCTGATTTCTTACAACTAAATTAAAATAATAGAGAAATAATTTACCTCTGTCGTAGTAAGCGGCATGCATATGCGGTATTCCTTCGTTAATACCATGCTTGCAAAGAAAAGTTGTCAACTCTCTACAATAACATCAACTTGATACTTGTTGTTTTTAAACTTTAATTTCTCACACAACAACGAGTTCCAATCTCGTAAAATTGTCATGTAAATAGCAAATTCACGACGCCCGAAGCGATGAGGCAATAAACAATTGAGTGGAACGAAGTGAGTCCCTCTCTCTTTAATCGATAATAAAGCTCGGCACCTTACACGAAGGCCGTGTAACTAGGAATCACATAAACGAAAACTCCTAGTAAATCAGACAACTTGTCCTTAATAATAAGAAGTATTTAAATAAATTATTGAATTACGCTGATACGTTAAACAAATTTTTCTAGTACTTTCATACCCACTTATTGCCCTGAATACAGTTATTCATTTTACAATGGCATAACCTACGAGTCGCAGAAACATAAACAAATACATAATGCGTCCGCAAAAATTTCGACTTCCGTGCAAAGCAGATAGGTAATAAATTGATTAAAAGAAAAAAATAACTTTTTACTACTCTGAGAAGATAAATATTTACAAATTGAAAAAAACTATATTACAATCAACGCATCAAATCCATAATCGTTGAGCACTACAATTAATCGTATTATACGAAAATTTTGTAAAATGTTTAATAATTCTAAATTGTTTAATAATTCTTTTCTAGTTTTCTGCAAACAGACAGAAAAGTGGTAATTGTTTCTGTGTTTGGAAAATCACAATATAAGGCTAAAGGATGCAAGACAAACATGCTGAGTTCAATCCTTCAAGTGGATCTCCTGGATGAACCAGAAGTGGACAAAGACACATTTGTAAGAAACATATAAATATATGTCTTAAAAATATCAAGATACGATATAATAATTTTATTTGTAGTGTGAGATAGAGGGATATCATGATACAAAAGATAAAACTATATATTTACATCTACGGGGTTTCTTGGATACGCATACCCTTTTAACAGAATATAATAGGTTCACAGAAAAACAAGACTGTAAAGATTTTCTTAGTGTGTGGGCTCATATGAAAGATAAATATGCTAGGGCATTGCTTGTTTTATTTCATATATCACATGTTATTATTCTCACTCATCCCACACATACCTTTGATTATAGTTATGTTCATTTATTCAGAGCAATGGATATTGTAAGGTAAGAATTGTCTTGTTTCAAAAATATATAATTATTACTATATTATAACTTAATCTATACAAGAAGATAATCCTTTTGGATTTTATATATTCCTTTATCTTCAGGCAAAAAGTTTCACCCCAGCTGTCTGATGTTTTGAGCTGCATTTGCAGTTTGCCTAAAGATTGGGTGTCTAATGTTAGGCCATGCTCCCCAAGGGTATTATTCTATTTTGAAACATGTCCTGATATATTCCAAGATCCTGCTAGTGAAACTAATATAAAAAAATTAGAGCATTCCTTGGAAGACCAAATTTACCAAGTATTAAGGAAAAACCGTATAGTAACTAACATAAGGTGAGGAATTATTAAATACAAGTAAATGTAAAACTATTTGTATATATATAATAAAATTTATTATTTAAATTTTTAGTTCAAATTCTCTATTTGCAATTCCTGCGAATCAAGAATTTGTTTATGTACACACTGGAACAACAGAATCTAGAGATATTTTGGGATACATGGCGAAGAAACTCATACAAAGTTGCAAAATCAGTTCTGGTAGTAGCACTTCGAGAAGTATAACTAGTCAAGATTCTAATTTTCAAATAGATGATACAGAAACGGGTAAGCAAAATAATCGTTCTCGAAAAATTCTCAGGAATAGACAATCGTGTCCCAAATAAAATATAAATTTGTAGATAATTGTAAATAAATAATTAACAACAATAATAATATAAACTCTACCAGTTAGATACATATTTTCAGAAACTCGCTCCTTCAGACTATTTCTGCAACAACACATAAACCTGGCCTTTGCTAGAGGTTTTGATGACAATGTTGGAAGACACTCCATACCTGCATACTTTGAGGTTAACATTGAGAATTCGAATTAATAATTCATCTAAAATTTATGAAAGAAATGATTCTATGTTGTTACTTCTTTGCATAAATTAGATACCAACAGTTAGTACATTCTGTGAGGTGGCAAATAGAGTCTATGACTACTTTATGGATGGAACTGATAAAGAATTATTAACTTTACATAATTTGCTGGATACAGATGTTAAATTTAGCAAAAGTAGATGCAGCAAAGTGCTTCCAAGAGCACTGCAAACGTATCAGGAAAATTTACCTCAACATTACACAAGGTATACACTAAGTTTGTAAAATTATTAGGAAACTAATATATCAAGTATCAATAGTGAAGTTAAATTTTGATTAGGGCATACCACGAGACAAAATTGGCTCACGCAATGGCAGTTTTCGAGATGCACGCACGGGGGCCTCTGTTCGAAGAATTTAATGAGAAATTACAAGCTGAATGTGAGAAACACTGGCGATCTGGCCGTCAAATGTGCGAGGTTCTTTCCCTCACAGGCAATCCCTGCACCAACCCAATTCACAGAGGTGGTAGTGATGGTGCTGGAGGTGGAGAACAGACAGATCTCAGAGATAGCGACCCGTATGGCTACTAAAAACAAATTTATTTCATCCAATTTTACAATATATTACAATAATTAAAGCTTATTTCACACCTTACAGTGATTTACCAATTAGAGAACACTGTAGCGGAGTTCGATATATTTGTGCTTGTAACTGTGGCCGTTGTCAAGCGTCGCGCGAAGATCCATTCAGTTTAAAACAGGCTAATTATGATTACTTCCAATTGCTAGCCAAACAATGTGGCTGTGCACAATTAGAAAGTATTCAATTTCCAGTTTTTCAACCAAGCACCCATAATTTTAGGTGAGTCAACTTTATGCAGTTATGGTGTTTAAATTGTCTGACTATGCTTAAAAAAATTATGGATACTTTATAAAACTTTAGATTACTATATATTTTATTTGCAGACCGGCTCAATTACTCTCTGCATCCAAACGCAAAGACTCTTTTAGTCATGCAGAATCACCTACACCAAGGGGACACACTCCAGCCTGCAGCTTAGGAGTCAACACTCTTAATGGTATATTTATATTATTAAAACTGACGTAATTTGTAATTTTAATGTCGTTTATAGTTTCAGATGATATCCGTACTCCGTACGAGAGTGGTGATCAATCCCAGCAGCCAAGTGAGAATAATGATACTAACAAACATGCTAAAACTAGTCTAACACCAAACGATGCACACAAAGTGGTCATAGAAGTTTCTGATAATGAAGAAGATAACAAAGGTAAATTAATGAATCTTCAATTTTATTTTTGACAATAAACAATTTGTATTAATAAAATATCTTATAGACTTAAATTCCACAGAGAAATCTTTGGTCCGTCAACCATCAACTACAGAATACTTGCCAGGAATGTTACACACTGAATCTCCAGCTGGTTTGTTACCACAATTTTCGAGCTGGTCTCTAGTTTGTCTTGGACCAAGTAGTTTATATTCTCATAATTTGGGTTTACAACACCAGACTGGCGTATTGCCTACTTCTGCTTTCCTTCTACCATGGGATGTAACTGTGAGGTAGTTTAAAATGCAGTACATTTAGAAAAATTTTTAATTTTCCAGGAAATTCTATCATAGTTATATTTTATATATTTTGTATTTGAAAGATTGGAACATCAAAAAGAAAGGGGTTCCCTATGGCCAACAATAGGCGATCATGGAGTACATGGTTACTGTCCAAGGGGGAAGAATTTTCAGAATTTAAATACTATTCGTGGTCGGAAATCTAAAGGTGGAAAAGAGTTTGTTGTAAAGATATTTGTTGGAGTGGAGTATGAATGTCCAAGAGGACATAGATTTATGGCATCTGCCCCTGACAAGGTTCTTAAAGCAACTGGAAATGGAATTGTAAAAGACAGTGGGAATAAAGTCACATCTAGCACAGCGGATATGCCTCTTTACTTCCCTTGCCCCTGCAGGTATGTAACTGTGAAAAAGATATTGTTACTCCGAACATAATCCTAATATTTGAACTTTTATAACTGCTTAGACAAACAAAGCCGCTAATAGCACAGCTAATGAGAATTCATGTGGTAACACCAAAAGCTCCTGTTCATGTCACACTGAATCCTAGGGTTCAACCAGGCCCACCACCGTGTCCAATTTTCGTAACTGGTTGTGACGAACCTATAAAACTATCTCAAAGTGCCTATTGGGTCTTAAGATTACCGTATCCTTCTTAAATATATGTTTTCATCTAAGAGTTAACATACTAATTATATCAATTCTTAAAAATTCCTTAACATAAAAATATAGATATGTATATATGGATGAGAAGGGACCGTATATAGCACCAAAAGATCCAGTGCCAATATCACATGGGAGATTATTAGCAGGAATGTATGGAATTAGTGAAGTAATTTTAGATAAAAAATAATACAGTATTTAACTTTTTATAAATAACACTTTGTACAACACATGTGAATTATTTTCTGTAAATATAATGTTATAAGAAGAATAAATATTATTTTTTTCTTAAATTACATATTTTATAAAATGAAAATATGAATGTACTAAACTTTTTCCTGACATAACAGAATTTCTTTCAGAATCTATGAAATACATTCAAAAATTTAATACAAATTCAAATTGTATAATGGGAAATACCTTTACTGGAATACATTGAATTAGGTTATCTCCCGGTTAATCGTTGTTTCAGCTTTTTCATCATTACATGCAATGACATTACAAAATAACGGCGCAGGCTTGTTTCAGGTATTCAAAATGTGTCACATAAAACATTTCTAAAACTATTAACATAAAAAAAACCTTCATTTATTGACGAAAACTTTTGAAACAACACTTCACTTGACATTTCAGAAGAGAAACTGTTACGGCGCCAATCATTTGAGTAAGACTCACTGTGATTGGCTATTTATTTGGCGGTAAATAGAACGTCCTGAATCCGAATTTCTGATTTGTTAACGCTTCTAAAGAGAGTGTTTAAAATTATTTGATTATGTAATCTATCTAAAAAGCTTACGTTTATTCTTAGTAATAACTAGAAATCACTTGTATGCATCATTTGTTGTTTATATCATCTTACAGATCATCTGCAATTGTAAAATGTTAAAGAAATTTCAATTTCAAAATTTTCCGCCATCTTGTGCTCTAACGGTTACGAACACTATATGAGAGAAAATAAACACATGTCATCACGTTTCACCTGTAGAGCGGTTATTTTTGTCCGTTATACACTAGTGCTGTAAAATTTTTGATGACATGAATGAAACAGTCAATTTTCCTGAAGTTAAAAATATTCTGTCCTAAACTTTAATTCTTGTATCAGGAAATATAACGTTTGCATATCCAGCATTGCTGAGGAAAGTGTTTGTTGCATGTGATGACATTCTGGAAAATTACTGATATTATTATTTTATTAAGTGTACGTTTTCCTGAGATATTGTATATAACATTTAAGCACTAAAAGTGTTATTTTAGATAATTTAAATTAGGTATAACATTAGTAATAATTATTGATAAAAGCTTGATAAAGAAAGCAAGTAGTAGAATTTCACTGGTTGTGCGTTTAGAAAATATGGATAAAATGGGGTATACATATTTGTTAGTATACCTTATTATCACAATAACTTGTCAGAGTGAAGCAAACACAATGTTTGGATGGATTTGGGGCAAATCTAACGATGAGAGCACTGTTTTGGTAGCCGATGGAATACCATTGGTTTCAATTCCCTATGAGTCCATGACAGAAGATGAAAAGTTTCTTCAAGAAGCAGCAAAATTTACTGAAATTCAAGTATCATCACCATTGGAAACTTGTCAGCATAAAGTCATCATGAAGATTAGAACTTCTTGCTCCGAAATGACTGAAGAACAACTAGCCAAACTAAGTGTGAATCTATTGAACTGTCAGTCAGCTGTGGAAGGTAGGAAGATGTTTCCTTGCACAGAAGATATGGTAAGTTATATACAAAATAAACTACTTGTTCGTTTAATATTGATTTTTTAAAAATTATATTGGATCCTATCATGATACATTTCTATATGTTTAACATTATGACATTAATACAAAATTATCAAAATACTTTGTTATAAAAAATTTATTATTATTATATATCATAGTGAAAGAAATTGAATTCATTCACATATGTTACTATGTGACTTTGCAATGTGTGTGTTTGGCATATGCAGAGGGGTAGTTTTAGACATGTTCAGACCTGCAACTTCCCCCACTGAGAAACAGACCACCTCTGAGCTTTGTTCAGTTTCACTCTCATAACATAAAGTACCATTTACTTGTGAACATCTAGTTGACTATACTGTTATAAATTGTGAATAAATCTTGCATTTTTAAGTTTGTAGTAATAGTTTATCTACTTTGTTCTGACTATATGTGTATGTGACTTCTGTGCTTCTTCATAGTCTCTGAAACAATGTACAACAGATATGGATGCAGATATGTGGAATGCATATCATTTAATGAGTAACAGAGCAAGAGCAGTTTGTTATGCAGCTCGTAGTACTCAATTTCGTGCTCTTACTGAATTGACTGTTAATAAGTTAATGCAAACTGCACATACGCAAATTCAAACGCTTGGTTCCTTAAAGGTAATTGTATAAAAATAAAAACGAATTATATTAATGTCCATTGCACTGGTCATTTACCTAAAATCGATCAAATAATAATTCAGGAAAGCCAAGATCGTTTAGAAGAACAAACAGTGCAAGCATTATCTTCTTTATCTGAAGGAAATAAAGTATTATTAGAACAACAACAACATCTAAAAGATGCACAAGTATCAGCCCAGCAATTAGTAACATCAAATCTAAGAGAATTATACAATGAAAAGGCCCTGATTAGAATGGGTCATAATCAGTTATCAACAATGGCAGAAGACATAAAACAGAAATTAGAACAAGCAAGTCAGAGCTTAGAGCAACAAGCTGTTGAACATAGTGAGAACCACAAAGAAATTCTTCAAGATTTAATGAATATTCAAGAACAAGCCCAACTGATTTGGGATAAAATAGAATCCAGTACTAATCGTATATATGAACAACATGAAGAAGCACTTCTTCAATATGAAGAAACTTTAGAAAAATTAGGACGGATTAATGACACAATTCATTTTCTCTGGAATCTAACAAATTCCATGCGCGCAGAAGTGGATGAAAAACTTAGTTGGTTGACTAATTATATTGGTGACACTGGGGAACAAATGCATAGAATGTACCGTACAAGTCTACATGTTGTTTACTTACTGTGTGCTATGGTAATTGCTGCATTTCTCCATGCACCTCTGCTGACCAGGGTTACAATAATGGGATTAGTGCCATTGAACTTGGTATCATACTTAAAGCATGGTATGGATGCTTGCTTAGACTTTACATCGATGACTGTATTGATATTCTTAATCACAGCAAGTATGTATTTACATATGAAACAAAAGTATCGGCATACGTATCGAACAATACTGAAAATATTTTCGATTTTACAGTGCATTTCGTCATGACCGGAATTCAACGTCTTTGTGCACCGAAGGCAACTATACACTCAGAACCTGTACAAATTACTAATAAAAATGGCCTTGCAAATGGTACTGCACAAGACTACATATCGTCTTCGTGTGCAAGTCTTAAGTCATCCGGGACACCATCTTCATCCCTATACACGAAACTGAAAAGAAGCATTGGGCGTATTTGCAATGTCATTTATAATCAAATAAATTATTGTATACGTAAGTTAGTAGCTTCAAAAGTTGCCATTGCATAACTTAACCCATCTTCCTTAATCAATCGTCTTTTCAGAAAAATGTGCTTCCTTGGTACAATCTGCAATCTCTTGGAGCAGGCAAAATTACAACCAACGCGAAGAATTGTCCTGTTCCTATATGCCATCCAAAAAACCCAGGGAGGATCTTATTTACAGTCGCCAAGGGGAGTTTCCTAGCATGATATCTGAGGATGCCACCGACTTCGAAAACTCTATAGCAGTAAATGAAAACGATGACAGTGTCAGTGACCTTGATCACCTGGTAGATGCAAATGAACTGAGAAGACGATTGAGGAAACTTGAAGGTTCTGGGAGCAGAGCTTCCTACGTTCAACGTTCCCCATCCAGAAGGTATGAAATAGACTTCAGAAAAAATGATCTATTATTCTAAATTAATCGTTATTAAATATTAAACACTATTTTATAGCGTCAGTCCATCGTACGCAGTGCCTAGAGTTCTGTGTAGCGCTCTAACTAGAAGCGGAAGGAAATGCCGTTTGTTTGCCACTAATGGCAACTATTTTTGCTCAAGACACTCCGCCGGTACTTCCATAATAGGAGACTGAAAGATTTGCAATAGATTTTACGCGTAACAACCTTTGGATAAGGTAATTTGTAAATGGAATTTTAACGTGTGACAAAAATCAAAGTCTGAATAAGATAATAGTACAAGAAGGATAAAGACAGTAACTTTGTAAATTGCGTCTACTATGTAAATATCCATTATTTTATAACACTTACACTGCGTGCCTTGAATTAAATTTACGAGTACTTAGCCTGTTAAGTGAAGTGTATGTCCATGTGATCGGTAGCTATTTATTTTTGTAAAACGTCGCATGTATTAATAAAAGTATCAGAATAAGTATACACTGTCACATATAACAACCTTGTCCAAAATCATAAAGCTTATTAAATGAAAACACATTAGAAATGTTAATCGAGTCTATTGACAGATCGCCATGTTGTATTGCGTGCAAATTGCGTTGGTAGTCAGTTCAAGGAACCTCGGGCTTCTGTCGAAACCGATTCCGGTTACCAGATTCCGCAAATTACAGTAATTTTTACCATGATCAAATATCCTGAACCATTCGTTCGACACAGATTCACCCTTGAATGGAACAAAAAAAAAATATAAAATATTGGGAAAAAAGTGAGAAAAGAAGTAATCCAACCATACCGTTACCACGCAGGTATCGTTCACTGTTTCAAAAGTGATCTTGATGGTCTCCATAGTTTTCATGTTCGATCCGAGATGAACAGCTCTGATCACATTAGTTTCATTCGCTTTTGGTTCATTAAGCTGTTAAATAAATCATTCTTTATCGTATATTCTCGCAGCGTGGTGGGCAGTGAATTTAAAATTATTGTTCTCACTGTATAAAGGCACCTGGCATCATGTAAGCCACAGTTGACACTGGTCGACCAGTTGAGGATTTGCCACCTGAACTTTTGCATAGTGTGAGTACAAGGGTCTCTAAATTTCCTACCGAATAGAAACTAATATTACTTCATCTCCTTGTATCCTAAATTATAACATTGGCATAATATTTATTACAACAAATTTTAAGAATATTTAGTATATATATAAAGTGTTAAATCACCAAAAAAGAATTGTCTATTTAATTCTGATTGAAGGATCTACTGAAAGATAGTTCTCCTATGCTTTAAAAACTGAAGTATAGATTTAATCCCTTGCCCTATGATTTACTTCTCAACTGTCTCAATTCAGCTAGGTACTTTATCATTAATAATTCATTGAAAAACCGAGAAAAATGTAGACATATTCTATGTTTGCTTTAAATTATAATTACTGATAATAAAAGAATAACATTTAATTTGAATTCAGAAGGATCGAATAATATTTATTCCTATTATATTCTCTTTAAAATCACCACGAGTCTGATAAGTTGTTGCAAAGCAAGGGATTAATGAAAGAACTTCGTAATATAATATCGATTATTTGATTGAGAAAGTTCTTCCTAGGTTTTACATTGAAGAAAATTGATTGTGATCTTTTGCCAGTGGCGGAGTTCAAAAGGGCGCACCGAAATAACACGGTATCGGCCTTCTAAACGTTCTCATGGGCTTGAAAAGTGTGGTTCGTATATTTTTCAAGCAGTGTCGTCCAGCCAAAGGAAAATATACCAGCCTCGGGTTAGTAATATTGAGTTTCTCTATACGCAGGATTGTTTGCAGAAGCGGCTAGCAAGTAGACGGTTATCTTAGAACACATTTTTCTCAGGCTTTTACAGGACCAGACAAAACAATCACGCTAACCCATTAAAATACCCCAAATTTAAAGAAACATACTGTTTCACATAGAATAAGTCCATCAAACAAAGGTCTGATAATGTTCAAGTGAAAGTATACTAAAGTGTTCTCCTTTCTCCTCTTGGTCTCCTTGTTTTGTTGCTATTATTGTGTTTATTCGTTTACACTTACCATATAACAATGCACGATGCATGCAGCGGATAAGGGAAGAACAAAGCGATTAGAAGAGCACAGACTAGGACCATTGACAATCCAGTGATGCAATAGCTGAGATGTCTGCATTTTGGGTACTTGGTACAACCACTTCTAATCTCTATTGTGGATGAAACATCCTCTTTTTCTTTTGTTTTATTGGAGTCTTGGAAGAGAAAGAATGACTTGATTGAATTAAATTGTTAATATTCGATAAACAATATTTATAACAGCTATAATATCAGTGATTTATTGGTAAATTCATATGCTATTTTGGAAATATTATTTTAAAAAAAATTAAGCAATTAAGTGCAATATAATGTTATGTTAATTTATTATATTGTTTTATTACATTATATTATTCATAATATATATTACAATTGTAAATACAAAGAAACTTTAATATTAATATTAAAAATTGTAGGAGTATCGAATGTTTGAAAAACGATTAAATTAATGAAGTTTCACAAGAATACCGTTTTGGTCTCCGGAATTGTGTAATTTCACATGCTTCAAACTGTTCACTTGTGAGTAAGGTGGCGGCGGACGCTTCGACATTGACCTCAGCTCCATGTACCCTTTGTACGTCGGCGGCTCGTCTTTTTTAGCATTTCCTTTCGACCTGACCATCGCAAATCGATCATCCTACATACAAGGAAATAAATTCTCCAAAGTTCCATGAAAACTGTCAGGAGAAATAATTGAAAGTTACGTGATTGTCGTTTCTTCTCACCACCTTTTTATTCAGTCATCGATAATACTACAACAAAATGAAAATATTATTACACAAATTACAAGAAATTCAAATAGCCCTAGATTTTCTCCTGAAATCCGTATATTTACTTGAACTAACAAATTAATGTCCTTTTCTAATCCTCCACAATCAATTTAAAATAACAAAAAATACATTACGTATTTATAAATATTTATTTTATCAATGTTAAATGACCTCCGCATTTCCCCAAAGAAAATATTATAATAATTTAAAGTCAAAGAATATTTTAATCATTTCTTCCATTTAAATGAAGCTTGATTAAGTGACAAGTCTAATGAAATTAAGGAAGTATTTATGCATAAATTATCAAAGGGTCTAAGGTTTCTCAAGTTTGTTGTTTTATTCGATGTAAAGTCGTAGATGGTGACCGGCCATTTTATAAGAAGCCTTCGGGAGGCCTCGACTTCCCACGAGTGTAGATTGAATCATTTTTTCCGGGGATTTTTTTACGGTGTACGCTGACGCGTACGCGGTGTCCCTAATGAATACTATCTACGAAGATACGAGCCATAAATGTACTCGTCCCGACTGCTACTTCCTTTTCTTCCTCTCGGGCAGCCTTGCCACTAATTTATCGACCGTCTGATTCATGTCTTAACATTAAAATCATTGTTCGCCGAATCGGACACTGGAAGAAACGAATATTAATATTTGTCGATCCTCGTCTAAATACAATAATTTACCTGTATCTGACTCAAACCTGTGAAATCCTATTTCTTCACATTATTATTACACTGTATAATTTTTTGAAAATGATAAACGCAGTAATCTTTAGAAGTTGGCACTAGAAAGAATTAATATAGCTATGTACTTTTACAGTTTACCCTTTGTTAACTTTGCTTGATAGATTAGCTGTGTATTGGTGAGTATTGTTTATTATAAAAATCTATACGACGATATTGTATACTATTTGAACATTTTAATAGTTCCGTATAAACTTTTGGAGACAATAAAAACAGTAATTTTCAAAAGTTAATACTAAAAAGAACTAAAATAACAAAACTGTTCCCAATTTTACCCTTTATTACTATTATATGTAAAATATTCGTTAATATTTTGATAAATTGACATGCTGACGGTAAATAATATTTGCAAATTACGCGAAATGAATATACAGCTCTTCTCAAAGGAAGAGAAAAATAATTTTTCATTGTCCACGGCCATAAATTTTCTTTTCTCGTTTCACTTAGATGTCTCATGTTAAAAATGGCGTTTCTTGCGGCCGCGGGGAACGAAACGACAGATCTAAGGCGATCTGCAACGAGCCGTGGTTTGACTTATGGATGATTGTTCGCGGGCGAGACGAGCAGGCGAAAAGATAGCGACTTCTGCGAATGTGGGTCAGCGAAGACGAATGAATGCGGACAGTGTTTTCCTGTTTACCGATTCCGGCTTCCACCGACACTATTTCCTGGCAACTGTATTGCAAATTGGACGTCCTTGACAGCAAACAACATAATAATAAATTCCATATATTCTTCTTTTTTTCTTCTTCCACCAAATTCATTGAAAAATTACGAAAAGGTTTCCTTTAAAATAAATAAATGTATGAGTGTCTTAGGATAATTAACTGCTTGCTATTTCTGAGTTCTCGAGGAAGAAAACTTTTGTGAAATGTTCTTAGATTAACTGAGTACTAATACTATAATATTGTTACTAATATTAATTATTACTAATTATTAATATTCGTAAATGTAACATTGATATTCCATTAGTTGTAATGAATAATATAATATAATAAATGAACTAGTATAATATAATATATATATATACTAATAATAATAATAATAATAACCAGTAGAAAATACTTATATTACGATGTTATTAATAATATTAATCATTAAAAATTATAATATTAGTAATTACAATGTTCATACTCTATTAATCACAATAAACAGTAATAATACAGTAGTAATAAATAACAGTAAATACTAATATTACAATTCCATAATATTAATTATCAGCAATCACTAATATCAAGTAATTGTAATCCTAATATTTAATTCAAATACATTTCAAAAAGTCTTTTTTTTTGGGAACTGAAAAATAAAAATTGGACCACTATTATTCTAAACCATTCATATATTGATTCGGTTCAAACAAGAAATTTTAACAAGATTAATTGCAAACGACTATTTTTATTAAAATTTAAATTACATAATCAGTTGGTTCACTTCCCGAGGCAAGATCAGCGCTAGAAAAATTGTTTCACGTCCCCAGACCCCGCCCATCAAACCAGAAATTAGTTGCCGACAGGCGGTTCGAATTATAAATTTCTCGGAGACCCCGGCAAGAATCTTTCTTTCCTGCCTTCTGCGTCTCGCGATTTCGGTTTATCGGCCACTTCAAAGGGAAAGCACGCGGAGACCCTTTCCATGAACCGGAAACGCGTTTTTTTGATGATTTTTTGAGATGTCAATTTCAATTTGCATTGGAAATATATAATAAGAATATACCATTTCAGTGATCATGACTTTTCCATGGAAATATTGACAATACACCATCAAAATTATTGAGGAGGAACTATTTCTTCATCCCATGTTCTTTCAAATGAATTGACAATATGATAATGAAGTATTAAAGTATTCCCCCTTTTGTCATATAAAATTGAATGAATTGTAAAATTTTTAGATTTTTAATTAAGTGACTCTATAAATAATATTGTTCTTTTCCCTAATTTCTAACGTAAAAGAATTAATACTCGCGTTTTTTTTT